CCATACAGGAGGGGGGGCAATAAACAAAAGACATTTTGTCTCCAGACTCAGATGGATTTAATCACACTTTGCTCAGCTCAAAGCGTGTGCTCCCAACTTAGAATTGAAGAGCGCATTTCATTTCATAAGAAAATCTTCATAGTGGCCATCTACGTGGACGGCATCAGAAAATTTGCCCGGAAACATGGTGCTCTGGTCGAGCTCAATGGGGTTCTCGACTGATCGTGTACCGTTACGACGGGTTCCGAAGGGCGGGTTCCGAGGGGGTTTGCATAGTTAGAGCTAATGTCCCTAGGAAACTATCCCACGTTGAATCGATCCAAGAAATTATGTAAGAGCTTCAGGCTGAAGCAGTTACTGTAGGCCTCCCTGAGCTCGACGACGGTGACAGATGACGTCATATTCTGAAGACGGTGAGGGTAGTGAAGGAGGGCCTGCGCGTACTTTTAGAGGGACACTCAGGGTCAACCGCCCGTTGCGCAAAGAACAACGAGGGGGACCATATGACAGTACATTGCAACTCAATCACGATACTAACACCTTCTTCAGGAAAATGGAAGACTTTCAAATGCGAGTGCGACTTCTGCCCACAGACAGGTGCACGGCGTATACCCGAGCAGGCGTTTTCCCATAAAAACGCCTTCTCTGTCAGCGGCCGTAAGCAGACAAACTTCCTGAAGAGAATTTCGATGCTTTCAAATCAAATCTAAGCGGAACAAAGTGTAGCGAATTTGCTGAATTGAGTTCTAGAGACCCCTTAGGAAAATTGAGGCAGAAGAAAGAATTTCAGGAAAATTTCACACTTGTTATAACTTCGAGTGGATTCCAACAATCTTTACCGCTTCTCATCACATTAATTTGAAGGAAGTTATGGGCCTTTGAAGACTGCATAGTCGCGGTCCAGGAAAATGGCTTGAAAAAAATCAAGGTGGAAAAAACGGAACAACGGGACTATTTTTTGAGCGAGTGATTATTTCAAAAAGTTTTAGCACTTATTCGAAAGCTCTAATCTTCTAGTTTCTAATTAGCCTTAGACATCTGCAAAAAGTTGATTATGAAGAAAGTTATGAACGTTTGAATGTCGAAAACTCGCGCCTTCTCAAAAATCGGACCACAAACCCCCCCCAAAAAAACGGAACAACGGGACTATTTTTTGAGAGAGTGATCGCTGGAAAAAAGTCCTCGGTTCTTGTGGTTCTTTCAAAAGGTTCTTGTTTGAAAGCGCTAATCTTCTAGTTTCTAATTAGCCTTAGACATCTGCAAAAAGTTGATATGAAGAAAGTTATGAATGTTTGAATGTCGAAAACTCGCGTGTGCACAAAAAACGGAACAACGGGACGATTTTTTGAAATATTGAACATCCGCAACATTTCAAATACTTTTTAGGAAGAAAACTATTTGAATTTTTAAAATTTTGGTGTCCGGTTCCATGAGACCGCTTCTGAAAAAAAAATATAACCTTCTGAATGGAGGGGTTTGGATTGCAACGTAATTGCTACAAGGTTTAGTTTTTCAGATTATAAAATAAGGAAAATTGAGAGATCGAAAAAATCTTGGTAGGTTTCTGAAAGTAGAAATCTTTACGATTAAAATGATGTATTGGTTTACGCAAAAATTTGGAAATTCCTTCTATTTAATGAATAAAACTTCATTTGCCTCGATTCCCTCCTCTGAGCGAGACAAAGCGCGCGGATTGACCACGGTCCACCACTTCTCCATGTTGGTGACTGCCCACACATCAATGATGAGCATTAACCCATTCGTGACAATGTCAGCCACCGGTGGCTGACAAAGCTCTCACTCGGGACAATGGTATTACTGTGGCTGCAGGGCTTGAAATGGAATTTGGAAAGTTTTCTTCCATGAAAAGAATCTTCATACCCTCGCTCATCTACGCCAGCCCTGGGCAGAGGAAATCTCCCTCCACTCGAATTTTATTGAAGAAAAATCTCCTGACGCTGCTGCTATTGCGCAATCCTGCGCGGTCGCGAATGGGTTAAATTATGCGAAAGACATAATAGTTAATACGGGGGGGGGGGTCGTACCGATACCCTCCGAAAAGGAGGGGGTCGTAAAAATTTTGGAATTTGCGCAACGCAGGGTTGACCCTGGGGACACTTAGGGAATATTTTGCTGAGGAACTTCCGTCAACGACGACAATCTCTGCGAAGAAAAAAAGGCCGAAGTGCGACCTGGGCAAAATGTCTTTTTTTCTGACCCCCCTGTATGTTCGTTGGTAATTAATGATCAATCATCAAACGATAGAAAATACAAATACTGTTTTGAACGAATCTGTTTTTCTGACCCGAAAATTATAGCTACATCTTCGGGCAGTAGAAAAAGGCTATAAAAAATCAAGAAAAACTTTCTTCTTCGATCGTATAGTAGGGCATCATCTGCATCAAAATCAGCTCAAAAATCAAAATCAAAATCATAAGCTAAAATTGCCAACACCACCTGGAAAAGGTCTGGGGCCGCGTTAATAATCGTGACTCCAGAGATTAAGATAATACGCGTCAATGAAAAAGGTAAGTATTGACAGGGAGATTCGGATAGTAGTAGAACAGGATAGTAGGACAGTCGGATAGTGCGCTGACGATAGGTATTGATCTACTGCCATCATAGGATACGTCTTCTGTGATCCAATAAGCAACCTCACTTCACTATTTTCTAGTGTATTTTATCTGAAGGCATCGCAGAACTGCAACATGAAGGGGGTGACTCATTTCGCCTTCTATCATACTTACTTTTTTAAATTTGATAGTGCTGGCACTTTTGGGATCTTTTAGGTTATTGGAAATAGTAGAACGGTTGCTCAAGCAAATTGACTTTTTGTGAATCAAACTGGGACGTAGTATTGCGCAAAGAGGTAGAAAGATCGCTGATGTGAAGAATTCACGCTGATGTACAAGAGTTAGCAAAAGCACCAAATTTTCTACAGTAGATCCAGAAAATAAGAAAGTCACGGGTGCTCTTCTGCTGGTGACGACGACATTATGGTGGGTGAAAAAAAAACACCCAAAAAATAGAACGAGAGGACAATATCCAGTAGAACTTGGAAAGCAAACAATTTTGCAACACCTGAAGATAACGCAAAGATGAAGAAGCTGGAGAACTGAGTAGCAGAAGAGCCGACTGAGCAGCAGCAAAGTCACCGCACCGAGATGCCGTCGTCGCAGATTTGTCGTCGGCGAAAACAACCAGCTTTTACCACTTCGTTATCCGCGAAGGAAAGCGGACTGGTTATTATAGAACAAGAGTGAGCTGTATCCTCAACATCTGCGACAAAGCATAAAAAAACATTTGACCGTTGATCAATCCCGTTTTGGGATGCGGCACGCATTCTACTTCCATTTGTACATTCGTAGTGGCGTTTGAATGCGATGTGGCCTATACAATGACTTGCGGGGGCCAGCCGATGTACAAGTCAGTGTTTTTATCCTCCCAGACAAGTCTGGTACTTAAAGAACCTTATGAAAATGGAAGGGTTGGTCAGTGTGAACGACGTGAATTTGCACTTTGATCCCCATAGCGCGCGCGTGGTCAACAGGGCCAACTGACGACACCGCTTCTGACCTCTGATGGAGCGGCAAATCTTTTTCCAAAAACGGATTTCCGAATCCGACGGTTTCGAGGACTTTTGCAGAATTCATTACCATAGCTGTACTCAATTAGTAAGAGAAAGGTTATGAAGTGAATTGACTAATAAAAGAAGAACATGACTCCACCAGTGGTCTCCTGCATACCAACAATGTGCACAGGAATTATGAAGGTCTGCATTCAATATTTATGGAACTTGCTGTCTATGAAGCACGGCCTAGCGCCCAAAAATCGGCTTCGCAAGAACCGTAAGAATTACCTTATGAAATTGCCTCTAACGCTGCCCACCGGACAACTTACAACTGTCCTCTTTTTCAACCACCTTGAATTTTTTTGGGTAAGAACCAATTTGGAAACTGAAGCGAGATTCGCAACCTCCTCAATTCATAACTCCCCAGCTTCAAGCAGATGGAAAATGAGTAGGTTTCCTAGTATCGCACATGGGTGCCTTCAATGGTTTTTGTTCTGAATGAAAATGAGTAGTTTGTGCCGAAATGTTCTGTTTTTTAGATGTCAATAACTCGCATTACTTTCTGGACAAGCTAACAAAAATATGCAAACATTTGATCAAGCGAACTCATCACCTTCGAGGATGAGCACACTCCCATTTTTTACCCAAAGATTGCTCTTCTGTATGCCCCACCTCTCAACTCTCGACAAAAACGCTATCTACATAGCATATTGGGTTAATGAAAAACTAACCGTACAGTTGTTCACGGCACACAACACCCTTTCTAACCCTCAATCCCAATTCTGGAACGAAAGACTTTTCCTAGATTTTATGAGCGAGTTATTCAAATGGGAAATGCGCAACGGATCATTGTGTGTTTACTTCAACAATACCCATAGGTAACTTGAATCTAACCAAACCGGCAATTCGTTACTTGGCAAACCTTGTGGCTCTTCCTTGCGCCTATCACCATGTAGATTTGTAGCGCGTTGGAAGTCAGCGATGAGTTGTCCAATGCGGACCTGCACGCTCTGAGTAGCCAAGAAATTTCCTACAATTCGCACTACGGTACCACTATCGCTTGGTGAGGGGGATGATGAACCTGGAACAGTGCAAAAATAATTGAGGCACGATTAACTGAAGTAAAAGAAAGAAAAGAATTAGTGTGCGTGAAACCTTTCGACAGACCTTCTTTCGCTTCGTCTTGAGCAGTGGGATCGGCTACTTTAGGTTCATCCTCAGGGATTTTCACCTTCAACGATTACCAGTTTTGTCGTACAAGCTATTTTTACAAACAACACATGAATGAAAGAAACTAAAAGTCGAACTTACCGAAGCTCCCGTGATACGTTGCAATTCCCTGACATTTTGACCACCTTTGCCAATGATTCTACCTACTAAGCGAGATGGAACCGTCAGTTCCGTCCGTAGTTTGACCTGGAATAAAACAGCTTTTAAAATGAAAGGCGAAATGATAAATCGACTGGTTTGCCCTTTGAGAATATGCAAGGTGCCTTCGACATTCCATTCGATATTGATATAACTGACTTTCAAGTGAAGCCGTTGCCCTTTGCTACATTAATATCCATTAATTACCAGAGATACAGTGCCTAATTACCCTTAGGATAAGGGAGCATATCTCTGAAGCCTACATTCAGGGCCTTGTGTTTCTTAGTGTTGCTTGGCATAGCAATGTTCGAGCGCACCTCGTGTGAGAAAATCTAACGAAATTTAGAAAATAAAAGAATTCGAATCTTATAAGATAACCAGGAAGTTCCTCAGAAATATTTCTTGACAGAACCACATACAATATTTGCATAGTTGAGCGGAACAAATCTTTGCAGCTCTTACAAAGCAT